AACCTTTGTACCAAAAGTTGACTTAGTCCAAGAAGCAGTGGACAAAGTTCATCTAATTAAGGAAAGGATCCGTACTGCACAAAGTCGTCAGAAAAGCTATGCCGACAAGAGAAGAAAAGATTTAGAGTTCGATTGTGGGGATGAAGTGTTCCTTAAGGTATCCCAAGGAGGGGGATAATAAAATCCAAGAAAGGTGGGAAACTTAGTCCACGGTATGTTGGCCCATTCAAGATCCTTAAGAGAATCGGCCAGCTAGCCTACCGCCTAGTCTTACCGAGTAATCTTGCTGGTATGCATGATGTATTTTACGTCTCAAGATTGAAGAAGTATAGTCCTGATCCAGAACACATTATTACAAGAGACATCCCACCTATCATGGATAACTTGACGTACTTAGAAAAACCACTGCGCATTATTGATCGTCAAGTCCGGGTATTAAGGAAGAAACAAATTCCACTGGTCAAGGTGGTTTGGCAAAACCACAATCGAGACGAAGACGCCACCTAGGAGCCGGAGAAGGAGATGAAGGAACAATACCCAGAGTTATTTGGGAAGAATTTGGGGACCAAATTTCTATAAGGAGGGGAGAATGTGATACCCCACAGGTACATTATTATCTGAATTATGCTAATTATATGATTTATTAGTAACAATTAATAATTCCTTGAGTGATTATTATTTTTATTTTTATTCTTTTACTATTAGATAATAACAATAAAATGAAGTACATATCTCTATTTTCCCTATACTATTAAAATAGGTGTACAAACTTCTAGAGTGTTTTACTAACCATCAATATTATAAATACTTGATAATTTTCTTATGCACTTCCTAGATATCTATTTGATTTTTAATAATGTGTAGAACCTTACATATTATTCTCTTGGTCAAATGAATAATATAGTTGGCTTGGATAGATGTAGCTATAATCCTCCATCTAAATATCTACAGACTTATGAATATGTAAGGTGCTTAATATTTTTAATTGGTATATTATATATATATATATATATGTGTGTGTGTGTGTGTGTGTGTGTGTATTATTGGATAGCTGGTTGAGATATATACATATTTGCGTATTAACTTAGTATAGATGCTTTAGGGTACTAATTATATATTAATAAGTCAGTAAGGTTGTTTAAGGGGTTTGCATATATATATGTGATAGATATATTTCATCTCATATCAATAATACTAATAATAATAATAATTATAAAAGGGGGAGATTAGAGAACCGACCAAATGCCCAATCAAAATCACGGATTTCAGAACATCACACTTCCCCATTCACGGATGCGTCCCTTACACTCCTCAAACTCCTACGTCCCAATAGAAACCCTTGTTATCAGATTAATCATTGCTTTTTGCGTGTACCCTTCACGTTGCAGGACATATTTCTACAAAATCTACACTCAATCTATCTGACCTAATCATTTTATATACAATTTACACCCAACCTATTCTACTTACCATTTTATACACCGTTCAACAATGACAACTTTTCCACCTCAACTCAACTTTCACTCTGCATCAAAATAAATATTTCAAGAAGTAGTTGTCCGTTGTAGAAGTCTTGGGAGATCATTTGGAGGAGCGTATGGGAGCAAATTAGAGGCACACATCATCCTAAGCCCAAATACTAAGAAGATAAGAGGTGGGTGATTAAATCTCGAAATAAATAAACGAAAGTGTTATCTCAAAAATACTGATGCATGTATATATTATATATATTGTTGGTTGTTGGAAATACTGTTGAGATTATGTTTATATTTTTTTTTTTTTTTGTGAATACGCGTACTCAAAAATACTGATGCATGTATATATTATATATTGTTGGTTGTTAAAAATACTGTTGGGATTATGTATATATATATATATTTTTTTTCTTCTTTCGTGAATATGCGTACATGTGTATATTTATATACTGTTTGTTGCACTGTAATCATGTGTATATATTTATTTCCTCTGTGATGTGTATTAATACCTTTATGGGGTTTTATCTACACAACGTATATTAAAATTTTATCTGTTATTAAAATTTAATCTGTTTTATTGTATTAAACTCCTCATCTGCTTATATATGAATTTTATCTGGTATTCATATTTATCTGTTTCACGATATTAAACTTTTTATCTGGTATATGAAAATTCTTATCTGATATTATTTTATCGCATTAAGAATTTTTCTGCTTTGTATACGTGTTGTTATTTTATATGTTATGTATTGTTTATGTTAATCTGTGATAATACTGATCGATCTATTCTTCTAATTCCTCCCTGATGCGTAACATATATCTGTGTAACTTCAAATCTTAGTAATTTATCCATATGCAGTAATTAATTATAACAAATGATTAAAATAGATCTTGGTATTATTTATATAATTATTGTATAAAAAAAAAACAAACAAACTTAGAATATAAGTAATAAATTTAAAAAGTTTTGACTTATAAATTTTTTTACTAGACCATCCAAACACGTCCTCGGTTTGGAAGTCATTTAAATATCATTAAGGATAACAGTCAGAATTTATTAATTAAATTAAAAATTATGAATGTGATATTTTGAGATTAAAATTAAGTGAGAATGTGGATTTTGTGATAATAATAATAATAATGGGTGTTTAGAATTTTTTTTTAATGATTGGGAAATTCGATTAACAGGTGTGTCCACCCACGCCTCCCTCTAACACCAACTCTTCAGGCCGCATAAGTAGATTTCTAGAAAATATTATTCCCACTATACACCGAGTGTTGAGCTTATCTTACTTGTGCTGTTAATTTGATGCGGCCTTGTACACCTAACTCTTGATGTAAATTGACTTGACTGTTTGGGACGGTTAGACCAAACCCAGTATCGAGCAGCGTGGCTGCGGTTCTCGGCAAGGCTACCGTTGTTGCCTATTCCCATAACTGAGGACGGAGTGTTCCAAACTGACTGGGTCGTAGAAATGGGGTATAATCGCGATTATGACATTCTCTGGGCAGAAGCCCGTAACTAAGGAGTTTGTCGAGCCCAGATCAGATATAAGGTTGGCTTGGAACTGCATAGTCCATACTGGAGCTTCGGCTCAATACTGGAGCTTCGGCTCAAACTGAGACTAAAGGCTTATGTTGTTGGGAGTCACAAGGGAGAGCCTAGGATCAAGTCAAACTGACTCGCTCCGAAGCTAAACTGTTACTTAACATATTGACCTCTGCTTTATTAATTAAGTTACTTTCAATCCATGGGGATTGAAATCACTGTTTTATTTCTTTAAAATATTGTACTTGTGAAAGGTCTATTTGTATTATAAGCAATCCAAAATTTTGAGTGTTGTCTTACGATATATTACGAATTATTTGCAAACTAATATGGTTTCAAAACATGCATCACAAATTATTTTTTTATAAAGAAAATTCAGCCACCAATTGCACACACTCACCCGCTCACTGAGAATTTTTGTCTCACCCCACCTATTTTTTTTTTATTTTTTTTTTTATTTTTTTTTTTGAAACTCCCCAGACGAGGAGCCAACCATGGTGGAAGAAACCAACTCTGGAGAAGAATTTGTCAATTGAATCCTGACCCCTTTTTATTATTAGCATGATCTTAAGTTATTGGGAATGTTATTATGAGATTAAGACTAAGTATTATCTATTGTCATTTGGTACTTATTTTATTTGAGACTATTCTGCTGCCAGTTTGTAATTTTTATTATTCAGACCATGTTGTATGACTTGTATTCCAACTATCAGACTTATTATCACCGGACTAAGTTTGAATTGTTAATTTTTATTCTTCTTGTTATTTATTGCTTGTTATTGCTTGGCGTTGCGTCCCCGTCCTAACCGGTGTGGGGGATGTGACAAGTTGTGCTGAATTCGTGGATTTTGTGTTTCATTTTCAAGTGTTGGATTGTATGTATAAACTGAATTATATCGTTTTGTATATATTGTTTGTTTAACAAATTATTGTGTTTTTTCATTTGTTTCGTTATAGTGCATGTTGGATTATTATTGGGCGGATATGTTGATATTAGTTGCTCAAACAGGTATATTTGATTTTTGGGTAAAAATTTGATTTTAACAAGTTTTTTCAATTTTTTTCTTCTAAAAATGTATTTAGCAAACACGTTTTACTTTTAAATTAAATTTAAAATATGAAAAAAAAATCTAAAACGTATTTCATAAATACGTTTTAATGATTAAAAAATTAAAAAAAAAAAACGAAATTTTACACGTATTTATGAAATACGTTCTTATGTTTTAAAAATTCAGAAAAAAAAGTAAAAATGTATTTTGTAAATACGTTTTGGTAATTAAAAACAATTAAAAAAAATAATTTAAAAACGTATTTAGGAAATACATTTTGATGTTGATTAATTTACTTAATTAGATTAATTAACGTAAACGTATTCAAGGAATACGTTTTCGTTTGAAAATTTATTTAAGCCGTATTCAAGGAATACGTTTTCTAAATAATTTATCTAGAAAATGTATTCCTTGAATACGTGGTTTTTATTTTCTTCCACACCTTTTTTTCTTTTTTTTTGTCCACTTATTTTTTGTTTTTTTTTTTTAGTAAAAAATTCGCCGGTGGTCTCATTACATGTGCATTTCAAGGGTATTTTTGACAAAAAGATTCAAAGTTCTACAAATATTGTCACCTAGGCAACTAAAGCGACTACAGGTAAAACTCACATCATCAACGGCTAGGATTTCCTCATCTTTCTAATATATTTCAAATGACAGAAATACCCTCCATCTAAATACCCTCTCACTCGAGCTCCGCACACCCAAGATTTTTATCCCCAATTGTCTGCTTTTCATCTCTGCTTTCAATAATCTCAACCTAAAATGGAAAATCGCATCTCCTCATCGAAAATCACATGAGCCATTTGTATTTTCAAATTCTTCCAAAAGGGAGTTGAAATTGAGAGAAGAAATTTTTTTCGGGGTCTTTTTCCCCATTTTTTCCTATATTCTTTTTGGTATTAGGGTTTGAATTCGAGAGGTAGCATGATGTTCAGAACCTACGGTCGCCGGGGTCGTGGCTTGGGCCGGAGTTGCTCGTCCAGTGGCTTTTCCGATGGAGTTTCGGGATCTTCTTCACAAGAATTCTCGCAGGATGTTTATGATTTCTCGTTTCCGTCCGATCCGTACGATTTCGACCCGTCTCAGGATTCGGGGCGATCGGCGGCGTTTCTGCCGCCAAGGAAGGAAGGGGATGAGTTTCGTAACTCGAAGAAATTGAAGGTAATTGGAGCCGGTTCAAGGGCCTCCGATGAAAATTCTTTGCAAGAATCGAAGAAATTCAGGATTTTGAGGATTTCTGGTGAAGGGGGTTCGCAGAGATCGAGGGTGATGAAGAAGGTCAATACCGATACTTTTGATTATGATTCATCGCAAGAGGTGGACGATTTGGGCGTGCCGCCTCGGAGGAAGGGGGGGGGGAGGATAATGTGTTTGAATTTCCCGAGGATGGGGACTTGTGGGGATCGAGGAAGTCCAAGAACGTTGATAATGGTTCTTATGGCTTCAACTCGTCTCAGGAGTTGAGTGACTTGGGTATTTCTCAGTCAAGAGATCCCGAAAGTCAAGGTGATGGCTGGGATCTTGGTGGGGATTTTGGGAAATCTAGGAAAAGGGCCAGGGGTGAGGTTAATCCAGATCCATATGATTATAATTCATCGCAGGAGTTGGAGGAACATGTGGTTCCACCTCAAAGCAAGGTCAGGGATGATAAGGTTTTTGATTTCACAGAGGATGGGGATTTATGGGAATCGAAGAAGTCCAAGAATCTCGATCTTGATTCATTTACGTTAGATTCCTCTCAGGAGTTGGGTAATTTGGGTACTTCTAAGTCGAGAAAACATGAAAACAGTGGTGATCATCGGGGTTTTGGGGGGGTTTCTGGAAAATCTAAGAAGAAAAATATGGATGAGAATGGGAAATTGCATAGGAAAAAGAATAAGAAAAAGATGAAGTCAAAGGAGTCGGAGCCAAGTTATGTTGAGCTTACTGCTACACTTATGGAGACTCAAGAGTCTGGGGAGATGATGGAGCATGAAGATGAGGTGAATTTTGCGTTGGATGGGCTGAAGAAGGGGCAACCAGTGGCAGTTCATAGGGCGAGCCTTCTGTCATGCTAACAATTTGTGGAACAGCGCAGCAGAGGCGGCTTTTGAAAGTGCATGGTACTTTATGTTCAATTCGTTTTGGTGAAGCCCATCTTTATGAGGATAAATGTTCAGTGGGATCGTATACAATCATTTTCTTTTCTTGGAAAATGGATCTTTATAGTATGAGATAAAGAAATTCTGTGCTTTAATGGACATAATTTCCATTTTGCTCAACATTTTCAATGTTGAGTTGAGTAACTATTTACTGAGTAAGCTTTCTATTTTGTCCAACCATGAAGGTTGAGAGTTTACCTTTCTGATAGGAAAGTGGGAGGCAATCTGGTGAATATGCTTTTATATCAAGTGGTGCTTAAAAATTTGTGTCTATTACTCCTTGTATGTGATTGAGCTATTTTTATCATTAGGTTTTGAAACTCTTTTATTTTTTCTTAGGATGTGGAAATTATCCTCGATGCTGTTTTGGGATTCAATTTTGATGATATGCCATGTAACGTTGCTGCTGCAGCTTTAGTTTATGTTCTGACGGTTGACGTGAGTTATTTCAAGAACATATTTTAGGGTTGATAATATCTCTGTTTGCTTCAGTGCCATTCCAAGATATGTATTTCTCCAGCCTCGCACCAATTATTATATGAAATTTTCATTATTTCAGGGTCAAAATGATTATCTTCTGGATTCACCAAGCTGCATCCATTTTCTAATAAAAATGTTGAAACCACTTTCACCTAGTGTTGTCAAGGAAAAAGCTCTACCTGTTGGTAGCAAGCTTCTAAGCCTGTGCAGGAGTGTCGGTTTGTTACAGGAACCAGCCAAGGGAACAAATTCTAGCTCTACTGCAATCATGCTCCAGGTTCGGGAGATCCTTGTCAATTGCAAGGAAATGAAGTCAAGAGATGACAGTCATGGTGGGGTAGAAGAACCAGAGTTGAATCCTAAATGGATTAGTTTGCTTACAATGGAGAAAGCGTGCTCATCTCGTATCTCTATCGAAGGTTTAGAACTCGTTTTACTTAATTTATGTGTAATCTAGTATCATCAATTGAGATTGTTTCTTATGATCAAAATGAATCCTTTTGATCTGCATCTATTTACTCGTTTTGTGACTTTGCAAAATTCGTAAATTCGTAAACTTTAAAGTTAAAGCTAATTTTAATTTTTCTTTTGGGGTGGGGGGCTGGGGGGAGGGGGAGGGGGGAGGGCTTGATATGAACAGAACTTCTATTTCTATATTTTTGCCCTAATATTTGGTTGATCAATTTAGTTCATTCTCCTTCCCTTTTTTCTGTGTTGTTTATTATCAGACACGACTGGCATACGGAAAACTGGGGGTAAGTTCAAGGAGAAACTGAGAGTTTTCGGGGGACTTGATTCAGTCTTTGAAGTGGCAAGGAAATGTCATTCCGTGCTTGAGATGTGAGCTTGTATGTTATTCTTCTTTGATGCATGCTTATTTGTTCAGATGTCATTTGCCATTGGAGGTTTGGACATAGGGTACTTCGCATTTAGAAATTTTTTCTTGGTTGAAAGAGGGGTCAACTATATTAGTGGCACAATAGGGGAACTTGTCTTGACGTTGATTAAACCGTTCTTAAATGCTATATAATATATGAAGTACTTTTAGAGTCAAAAATGGAAATAACTTTTTTTTTTCCAAACTTTGGATTGATGATAATACTTGATTTTTTTTTTTTTTTTTTTTTTTTTTTTTTACCTTTGGGTTTATGAAGTCGCTGGCAATGAATTATATGCATTTCAAGATGGTATTCTAAGCTTGCATGACTACCATTACAGACCTTGATGTTTTCCATTAAGTTTATTTTTCCTATGCTCATTGATTGGATACAGGAATGGTCGGAGAAGAGCCCTACTTTTGCACTGGATTCAAGAGAAATCTCGGGGCTAGAAAGCCTAGTACTGCTTTTAAAATGTCTAAAAATCATGGAAAATGCTCTTTTCCTTAGCAATGATAATCAGGTATCAGGTTTTGTCTTGGCAGATCCAAGGTCTTATATGCTTGAATGCGTCATGTTTTATGTACCAGGTTTAAAGTTATTTATAAATTGATGGCTTGTTGTTTGAATCTGCTTATGAATGCATTTCAGCGCCATTTACTTGAGATGAAAGGAAGTTTTGATGGTCAACGAGCTCCCCGTTCTTTACAAAGCTTGTTCTGAGTGTCATTAAAATTCTCTCAGGTATCAAGTATGGTTTACTGTTTCCATTAAGCTATTTATAGGGTGTGATTGGATACAAATATATCCGCTCAAAACGAGATTTTTTTGGTTAACTAGTGTTAATTTTGAAAAAGATGGTATGTTAGTTGTTAGTGAGATTTCGAGTTTATATTAAAATAATATTTAAAGTAAAGTAATTAAAGTTGATTTGATGTAAAAGTAGGATAGAGATAATGGGAAGTGATGGTTAGTTTAAATTATGTGAGTAGATGAATAATGAATTAAAGTCAATGCGGAGTGTAAGAATGATTGATATTATTTAATTATATGATAATGTTGAGGATAGTTGGGTTGAGTTAAAGTTGAGTTGGATTTTGAGTATGAATTGATTATGTATTTAGAAAATTTATAAACAAACACACCCATAATCTCTCACACACGTGTGTCTTTTATTTTTATCTGTACCCACTTGTTTGTACCCACTTGTTCCTGATCTGTCATTGATGACTATTACATGTTCCTGATCTGTCATTGATGACTAGGTGTTTCATTACTGAGGAACTCTTCACCATCCAATTCCAAAGATGAAAAGGTGGGCTGTATTCCTTACGAGGGCAACCATTTCGAAGGCCTTTCTGGCTTAGGTTTAACTTCTCAGGAAAGTTTTACCCAGCTCGACGTGATCAGATCGAGCGCAGGACCCACTCAATGTTCCGCTGATTCCCTGTTGCTTAAGCTGAGAGCCGAATCCTCCAAATCAGGAATGTGTGGCAGGACATCAAGGAAATCTGATAGGATGGTCCGCACGAGTGGTAATTCAGGAATGGACGGTCAGGATCCTTTTGTGTTTGACGAGGATGACTGTGAGCCCTCAAAGTGGGACGTAATGTCGGGAAGCTCGAATAAGCCGTTGTCCCAAGGTAACAGGCAAAGTGCGAGTCGATTTGGATTTGAGAGTCACCCTGTTCTTGTGGCCAGCCAGCAAGAATCGAATGATGTAGGATATCGTCATTCGCAGGAGGCTTCTTGTTCTTCGGCTGTTGACGATGATAATAAGTCTAATCTCCTGGCGGATTGTCTACTCACGGCTGTCAAGGTACTACTTGCATTTTATTTTTTAGCCGACACGTTTTGGTCTTTATTGGAATACTAAATTGTTGAACATTATAAGCTTCTTGGAAGGATGTTTTGATGAATATTGCTTGCACGTTATTCGGTAAAAAAAATTTATCCCCACTTTGGACTTTGGTTAAATTTTTCGTTGGATTTTTTACGCTCCAAATTTTTACCTATCTAAGTTTCTTTATTGTTTCTTGTTTTTTGTTTGTTGGTGAGTTGTTTTTCTGTGAATTTTATTACACTATCACATTTCCTATTTATTTCTTCCAAATGACATGGTTATGATGGGTCTAATCTAACCATTTTGCGTATGTTGCTCTCTTCGTGTCAGATAATTATCTTATTTGCAATATATATATAATTAAACTGACCAAGGCTAAATTAATGGTCATTGTTAGAGGATCATTTCGTTGCATTTTGATTTTCAGGTTCTTATGAACTTGACGAACGACAACCCTGACGGCTGTCGACAAATTGCCACCTGTGGGGGATTAGAAATATTGTCTTCTCTGATTGCTGGTCATTTTTCATCATTTAGAACTTGTTTGCCGCATTCTGATGATGCTAGGGACAATATCTCATCATCTAAATCGAGTCCTAAGAGCAGTACGCCTCTCACTGACCGAGAGCTAGATTTCATCGTTGCTCTTTTGGGTTTGCTTGTGAATTTGGTGGAGAAAGATAGTCGGAACAGGTCAAATCATCGTCTATTTAGCTCTTTTATCCTGTCCATTCTATTTATTTTTTTTACAATGGTTCAGTTCATTTTTATTTTTGGGAAATTTCTTTTCGGTTGATGTCGTTTTTTATAATTAATTGAAGAAACATTTTTCTGATTGAAATTATTCGTATTCCAGATCTCGGCTTACAGCGGCTACTGTTTCATTACCAAACCCGGAAGGTTCGGCCTCGAAAGATCAAAGTGATATTATTTCTCTACTGTGCTCAATCTTCTTGGCTAATCAAAGCAACACTGATGCCACCAGAGAGGAGACATATTTGTCTTGGGTGAGGAATTTTGTTTTATTTATTTTTTGTCCTCATACTTTGATCAAATCGTCAAATGCATGCAAAAGGAAAATTTGAAGCGTGATATATTGAACATCTATAAGATTTATATACAAGAATAATTAAAACCGCGCTTTGCAGGAGGACGAAGAGTCTAAAGGTCACCAATCAAACACACGGGGTCACATTCAGAGCATGTAACATTTCCTCAAAGGAAAAATGACATATACAATGCTCAAATTGTTGAAAAATGCAACCGGATGCTCTACGCCATCAGGGAGTTTTATACTTCTCTTGTGCTTATTTTCTATATTTTGCTTGAGCATTGTGTTGGTGCCATTGAGGACAATGTCTATTTTAAAGTGTGGGGTGGGGTGTCATTTGCGATGTTTGGTTTAGCGTATCCTTATATATGTCGTCAATAATATTGTTGAGATGTTTTTTCGAGATTATTTATTATCTTAGGTATTAAGTCTTATTTCATTGTTTTTCTTGTGGTTATTCTCATTCGTTTGGTGCCAATCCGGTGAAAAATTGATTTTATTTGCACGTGAAAATTATTTTGGAGTTCTTGTTGCTACTTGGTGATTGATTACTCTTGATGATTAATTGACGGACGAATGCATGTGATTCGACACATATTACCTTCTTTTTGGTGAGACTTGAGCCTATGAGCATATATTGAATATCATGCTCCTTTTCTTTGATTGTGTGTTGTCATGACTAGTCGGTTTTTCTAGAACTTGCTTTGGTATGCACGTCTTTGTTTACCTTTGATGAATTTTGGATGCACGATATCTTAATAAGGGTATTAGGATTAACCCTTTGTTTTTAGCTTTTTTCTTGGAAGCCTACCTTTTACATAGACCCCTAGTGAGCCAAGTTTGAGCTTTAGCC